TAGGACTATACTGGCCAACAGTAGATGTTCAATAACTTTTTGTTCCCTTCCTCTCCTCCCTTCCCTGCGATGCTTCTGTTTTGTGGCAGTTTCAGCGAAGCGAAGTAGCTGACTGCCCAGGTACCGAGATTCCCTTGGATCTGCAGTGGTGACCACGTCCACTTCTTCCGCCTTAAAAAACAGATTGTGTTTCTTTGAGGAGTATGGCAGAGACAAGAAATTCTGGGAATTTGCAAGCATTGTTTATTAACTGAATCAACCTTGAAATGGACTGTCACTATTCTATTTCTTTAAAAAACTTTCACATGAACAATTTAATTTTAGATTCTATTTATTGCTCCCTGTCCTAATTGAAGCCAGAGGTCACTCTGTGAATGATGAGAAAAGATAGAGAACACAGGCACAGCTAATGCAGAGAATTCCCTCTGACTCCGGGAGCAAAACACTGTGGAGACTTGATTCATGTCTGAAAGTTGCCAGGTCATGCACAGGCCGTGGACATTAGATAAAAGAGGTAGAGATGAAGGAGAGGGAGAGAGAAATGTGGAAGTACCAGAAGTAGGGGATTTCCATCAGAGAAGTACCTATGTAACTAAATACCAGCATTCTCCTGCGTGCACCCTGTCAACCCGCTCCCCTCTCCACCCCATTGACCAGATTCTGGGGCTGCAGCTTAGAGCAGGTCAGGGAGAGCTGAGCCATGTCTGAAGGACTGCCAACATTTCAGAGCTAGTCAAGCATTTGGGTCTGCATTGCCACCTGCCTGGTGACTTGGCTTATTTGGGGAGCCCAAGTGTGTCCTTTGGGACATCAGAAGCTGGTTGGGTTCCAGAGTCCTCCCTGGTGTCTCAGGTTTCCCTAGTGACATGGAGGAATTGGTACTTCCCGGGGCTCTCAGGGCTGCGCTCTACCACCTCAGCCCCGCAGGGAACATTTGAAGCTGCACACTGAATGAGAAGAACCAACCCAGTGCCTGAGAGGACAGTGGCTTTTTAGATACGATAAACATGATAATCAGCCCTGAGAAAGGTACAAGTTACTAGAAGTAGAATTCTGTAACATTTCCTTTGGTCAGAGAAACGATCCATTATTTCTTGTCCGTGCAGTCACAGGCGTGTAGCTTCTGTCCCTGATTCACATGCAAAAGGAGGGAGAACTCACCTCTCCTTTAACTGAGGTCATTGTGCTAGGTATTTTCACAAATATTTGTTTTGAATAATCCTTCCAGAAAACTGCATTGAGGAAGCCATTATTAGGCGGAAGATTATACTTCAGTAACTCAATACAGTTTTAAATGAAGCATGAGACAATACAGAGAAGTAAAGAATGTTTAGTACCACTTGTACTTAGAATACCAACCCCTTTAACAAAAGCCAAGTGGATTGTTACCCGTTGTAGCTGTGGAAACAAGAGTGCCACACAGCGCAGAGTGATTGAGGAAGTGTTGATTGAGTGGATACATGCTGAAATTTCAGGAGCAACAGGAGTCCCATCTCTCGGTTTGCCAGTGTGGACTCTAATCCAGGATCCCGGGCAGGGATAACACTGACCCTGGAACGAGGATGCTCGGAATGTGGGATTAAAGAACATTCATCCCATGGGACATTTCCTAAAATGTCCTTCTGAGGCATTGTAGCTCTTGGTTTTCTTTTTCCCACTCGTCAAGTCACTTAACACTTCTGAGGCTTCTTGTCCTCCCTGTGTCCTCTCAGGATTCAAATTTAAAAGTTTTTAACACGAGGCCTGGCACACAGAGGGCACACCACATATGCTGGCTCTGTCTCTCTCTCTCTCTCTCTGCTTACTGTGTAGTCCTCAGGGCTTCCTCCTTCCTGATCGCTAAAGTCTGTGCTGTGCTGTGCCCACATCCACTGGCCCAGGCCCTCATTTTTTCTGCCACACTGACTTGGCAGTGGTGAGCTTCCACTGAAAAGAGAACCTTGATGTTGCTCGGAACATACTTCCCTAGGAACAAACTCATGCTTTCCCAGACAAAGAACCAAATTCCCGTGCCTGGAAGATGCCAGCCAGTTTCTGTTTGGCTGTAATGTGGTTAATCGCATGGGCTGGGTTTGTGTAAGCAACATGGATGGAGAATGAACTGTTCTACACAGCTCATAAAAGGGCAAGATGATCTTGTTACTACCTGTGCTGTATCTGGATTTGGGAGGAGTATGTTCTTGTCAATTTAACAAAACAAAGCAGCAGCAAGGATGAATGATACCTGTGACCGAGCCCCCCCCCCCCCCCCCGAGCTAACACAGACCACTCGATGTCCCTTGCCTGATCACTCCTGCAGTGAGGGTCCAATGTGCTAATCCTGGGTGACTATGGGAACTCCATGTGAGAGCAGCCTGCCTCCCCCCATCTTGAACAGAAGGACAGCTCAGGGTTTATCAGACCCATGCCACAGGTTACCCTACGCCTAGAGTTGAATTGCAGATGATGTTTATAAAACATGCCGACTAGGCTGTCCTCGAAAAAGGAAGAAAGTATTTCAGGTCATGCCTAAATCACTTCTCATGGCGTCCAAACTTAGATCTTGACACTTTGAGGCCTCATTGACCAGGTGTCCTGTCTGGGCCCACTTGGATTTTTCTAGAATCTATCTCTTAATAAATTAGTTGGTGTCTTCTGCGTTTGCTCTTAGTTCTCTCAGACGTAAAGACCTATATATACTTTGGCAACAACAGCAATTATCTTTCTGCCCATCTCACTGCAGGAATTTCATGCACGGTTTTTGTCAGTGGTAGAAATTCTATCCCTGTGTGACTGAGGAGTAAATAAGGGTGCATTCTACTGTACTTCCCTCTTGATAGTTAAACCCCATCGTACTGTAAGGGAGGCTTTCATCATGCATTTCTCTTATATCACCAGAAAATTCTTTAGTGGAAAACAGTCCAATGTTTGACAGCTTTGGACCATTCTTTTTTTTTTTTTCCTGTTTAACCAGTCTCTTTAAATATACTTAAAAACAGGAAACCACACATCTCCACCCCAGCACCAACCCACCATCCACCAACACTTTCCTTATCAGTTTGGATCTACAGTCTTTTTGCTTCTAAGTTTGGGCTGATGCCTGCTCCTACCTTGTAGGAAACCCCTCCAGGCACTCCCCGGTGGCTTTACTCATAGTCCATCTCCAGGACATTCTGGGTTTCACCTCCTGGGCAG